AGTCTTGTGTTTATCCCTTCCACGGAAGCCCACACAAACTCAGTAAATGTCCTCTGGGCTCACAGTCAGGCTAAGCACCATTCAATAACCAATTCTAAAAAGCTTATTTATTTTTTGATGAGAAAATGGAGATGTATAAAGACTCGTGATCATATGACTCATGATTTGTAGGATGTGGACTTGGACTTATCTAACATTCCTAAGAAGACACTCCGAGTCCTATGGGAAGAGAACCAGCTGTAAAAATATTCCTTATCTTTCTGGGTTTTCTTCTCAAGTTATTTTACTGTTTTACTTATTTGGTATGGTTATAAAAATGTAGACGTTAGAGTGGGCAGGTAAAAGGCTTGCTTCTTTCCAAGGAATAACTGCTTCCTAAGAAAAAAAGCATTTTCCTCAGAGTCCACAGAGAACATGGATTTTACTTAAAGTTCACACACTCAAGAAGTGCTGGCAGCAGGTCCACCAGGCATCTGAGAGGGGAGAAGAATTCCCTTATCTGGCTCACAGAGTCACAATGAGCACTTTTATTTTATTTATATTACTGAGGATTGAACTCACAGCCTCACACTTACCAGGCAAGCACTTGACCCACGGAGCTAAACTCGCAGCAATGTTTGCTTTAGCCTGTGCCCCGTTGGCCTGAATGTTGAGCTGGTCTCCAAGGTGCAGAAAGCCCGGAGCAGCATGTGGGCCACACACCTGAGGTCCTAGCACTCAGAGGCTCATGGGAGAGGATCCCAAGTTCCAACCCAGCCTGGGAAATTTAACAAGTTAGCAAAACCCTGTCTCAAATGCGGGGTTTGCTGCAGACTGTGTGATTGTGCAACATGTGCCCCACGCATAGTGGCCCCACATCGGTGACTCGCAGCCCTGCTGTGCTGCCGTCAGCTCCTGATTGTTGCCCTACTCCTTGGGCTCACTGTGTGTATTCCATCCTGCCGTGCATGGTAACCAGACTGGCTGGGCATCCTTTTTCCTCTGTGCCACAGCAAAGCACTGTGTGTGTCACGAATGCAAATGTCACCTGGGCATCACTTGCCGGGCACTTTGTTAGAAATACGAAGGCACATACCAAATGGCCTGGTTGCACTCAGTTTGAGGGTGGCCGTGTGGATGACCTGGAGGATGCTTTTGTTACCCAAGTGTAAGAACATCTTAATACGTTTCAGTAAGACCCTAATAAGAAAGATGAATGCGTCCGTGCATGTCACAGCGAGGAGCGGATTCCCCTGCCTCTGTCCCCGAAGCCTTCAGGAGATGGAGTGGCTCCCCAGTTGTGTGTTTCTCTTTGCCTTTCACATCCACACTGCGGGGTGCTAAGACAGTTGTTCTGCTTTTCTAACATTTGTGTGTGAAGGAAAGGGTCCAGAGCAGTGTCAAAACAATTTGGAGAGGAACATTTCTTCCTCAGCTTGAGATGCCACATTCGGGTTGGAAAGGGGGCAAGTTTTAATGAAATTCATCTGCTGTGGATTGAAATAGGTGGGACTTGGCTTTCAATTCCTCGTCCAGAGTCAGACTTTCCAGGCAGATGAACTGTTGGCTGCAAAGCAGCCGAGCGGAGGGAGAGATGAGTCTTGTCGGTCTGAGACTTTCTCCCAAAGGTGTTGCCTTTGCTTCATTTCTTCTTTATCACACCAGTGTGTGTGAAATCTCATTGAGTGAACAGTCTATTTTGAAAGCATACTCTTGCCTCAGTCATACTTGGTTTGAAAACTCTTGCATTAGTCAGAGGGAAACAGTGATAAAAGTGATGCGTTACTCTGCAGGAGTCTGAACCCTCTTTCATCTCTTTATTGATTAAAGTTAACCAGACTAACTGCTGTTTATCCAAAGCTCTTCTGTAGAGGGCTTTAATCAGAGATTGACCTCATTGTAGGGCAGTCTGTTCGTGTGTTTATGTGCAAGGGGGAGAAGAAAACAGATTTCCATGCAGGAATGAACAAGCATACCATCCTTACTAGTATCAATTTTATCTGGATACAATTTGAGAACCTCTTTTTAATTCTGACCACGGAATCCACATTGTGTAAGCATTTTACAGTATCACTTCCATTTAATACATTTTCTCATTTTGGGAAAACAAAATCCCTTATGGGGATACACCATGACTCTGCTTTGAGTCAAATGCCTAAGAGTTCGCTGGCAGGATGACTGAGATAATACATTTTTCTTGAGAACATTACTAAAACTCCAGTGATTAGCTGTAACTCTTGGATTTGTATCCTCTTCTTTAAAGTTTGGTTTAAAAAAGAGAAAACTAGTTATGAAAATTTCTTGGTGCTGTTGAATAGCAAAAGCAATCTGCAAGTCTGGTCTAATCTCTAAACAAGATTCAAAGTTTTTGGTTATGCAAGCCTCAGCACTCTGGAAGGCTGAGGCAGGAGGATCACAAGTTCGAAGGCTAGGCACTTAGTGAATTGGTAAGACCCTGTCTCAAAACAGAAAGGGATGGGGTGAGGAGGGAATATGGCTCAGTGCAAAGGCCCCTGTTTCAGTCCCCTGTACCAGAAAACATTCTAGTGGGTGTGGCTGCTCCTCAGTGATGCCCCCAGCCCCTGCAGACCGTCCCGTGCCCTGTAGACCTCCGCAATGGTGTCTTTCATCTCTGTGGGGTTGGGACTCTCCGTAGGACTCTACTTGTGTACTGGTGTTTTAAATAGCAGTGAGGAAGACCTCTGTCTTTTGCCGAGTTTATAGAGAGACAGTCAGTTGGCTTCTTAATATTAGGTGTTCCTTACCCATTGCTGTCCTTGTTCCGGAATGTGTGTGTTTCTGGATAGTTTGTGTCCGTCAGCTAATGGTCTAGTTGCAGCTACATGGGTAATGAATGGGAAGGTGGAGAAGGCAGCTAAAAATTCCCTGTCCAGTCGAGCTATGCCAAATGCTGTGATTTCCAGAGCCAGTACGGAGACCGGGGTGGTTCTTCCAAGCACGATGGACCAATAGCTCCTGAGTTAGTGTCCATGGTAAATCTGCCGCGATGCTTCAGGAGAGTTGGAGAGAATCATAGGAAAGACTTCCAGCTCTGAGCCTGATAGGCATGAATTAAACCTGACTTGCTCATTAAGGAAATAATGTGGCCTTGGAAACTTCCTGAGCCTCTTGCGTTAGTTATTAAATGGGTGCTGCAATAGGTCCTCCAGTATGATATTGTTGTATTACTGATATAATGCATGTGAGTCCTCTATCTCTATTCTTTGTTCACAGTAAACACTCAATAAACATTACCTGCAATTATTTGCTTCATGTACAAATTGGAAGTGCTTTCTAGGATAACCTAAAATATAATTTAGGGCACCTCAATCTATTTTGGAAAATCCTGTTTATGAAGAAATAACATTTTCATATTTTATACCTGTGGCCTAAAATATTTCATTTTTAATGTATTATAAGAATAAGATGTCAGCATAACAATTCAGAGTATGACAGTTGACTTATAAGTGCTGCAGCAAATTTGGAAAATCCTTCTGGAATTTAGCATTTGCTTTGAACAGCAAAATAATTTTACAGAGCAGGCCTGTTAAAGTGATTCACCATGAAGTCACTGTGGCACTGCAGATCTTCCTGGGGCATCGTGCCAGGGTGCAGATTTCAGGAAGGATGAGGCGTGAGGTGTCGTGGAGGAAGGGGAGGGAATGAACAATTCCAGATTAGTCATAGCATGATGCATGGGTGAAGACTCAGATCGCACAGTCTGGGTGTAGGCCTTTCAGTCACCTTTCACTTCTTAATACATTATCTATCTGATTTGTACACCTATCAGCTAATATGGTGCTTGGATTTAGTAGGGGGTAAATTGAGTCCTGGGGTGTTCAGTCTGCCCCTGTGGAAGCCGTTTTAACCATGTGTACTCAATCATATATCTGAAACTCCCAATGAAAATGCTTCCATTTCCCTGTCTGTACCTTGCCTTAAATCATCACAGATGGACAGGTCATGCCCAGAGGCCCTGTCAGGTGCTGCCCTTGGAGAAGGACCCGAGGTCTGAGGAATTGTGTAGGAGTTATCAAACCTGACCTTGTGATGGCCCTCTGCATGTTACTGCTGCCTCTTGAGTCAGATATTAATCCACCAGAAAAATTACAACTATTATGCAAGTATCTTGGACACTGACAAAAATTTTTCATCCCTATTATGTGAAGGTTGAAAACTCAGACATTTTTTTAACCAAGCAGAGGGACAGACTGATTCTAGCTGAATCTCTGGAAAGCTGTGCTCAGGACTTTGCATAAGGGTATTTCAGCTGTGCTCCCGTGATCAGGTGTTTCTTTGGAGAGTACAGGAGATGAGAAGTAAACAAACAAACTCCCCCAACCAGTGTCTCTTGGCAGTGATTGTCCATCAAGAGGTTTTAGTATGGTGTCCTGTCGCCTGGTTCACATCTATCTGTGTTTTTGCAAAATCACTGCCGTAACAAGATTTGCTTCAGCCCCAGCATCCCTGCCGACCAGCGCTGTCCTTTTTCTTCAAAACATCTTCACTCTCTGACAGTGAGGTCACATGGCTGTTCTGTGACCGTGCTTGGCACTCTCCCATAGGTCCATCTGCAAACCAACAGTAAATAAAGAAGAAACCCAGTACCTTTCATTTCCTTTAGCCTTCTTGCTCCTTTTGACTTGACGTGAGGCTCAGTATAAAGTCACTAAAATCTGGATGCTAATAAAACAAGTAACAGTGCTATTGGCATCATCTAAACTCATCTTTTAGTGTGGCTGAAGAATTGAAATAATGTAATAATGATTTTTTTAACTTTGATGATTATTTTACACCTTTTCATGTAGGGAAACACATTTCCCATTGGCTTTCCTTAACTCTAGGCATATTGTGAGGTTGCTGCCTTTATTCTATGACTAATATTCAATGTTTTAAAGTCAATATGTGGAATTTTCCAACTGAAGCTTTTCTTCTATGCACTGTAAACATTCTTGTCTTTTGTATTAGACATGTTTTTATTTGATCAGTAATCCACCCGTGGTCTTTTCTTTTTCTCACAGTCTGATAGCAATGCAAGCTTTCTGCGAGCTGCCAGGGCAGGCAACCTGGACAAAGTCGTGGAATACCTGAAAGGGGGCATCGACATCAATACCTGCAACCAGGTAAGATGTGAGAGCGAAGATGCAGTCCCAGAGCCCAAGGTTACTTTCCACTTATGCTGGATTTAGAAAGATAGAAGTGACCTGGCCTGGGCAGCTTCATTTGGCTGCTTACTCACCTTTCAAGCATCGGATGTTTGTGTTTCGGGCTAATATGAAGCAAAGTAGGTAGATAAGAATTTAACAATTGAGCATGTTTTGTCTGTGGAATGATATAGACTACCATTAGGTTAAATATTGGCCAAGAATGTTTTACTTCTCATTTATCATCAGCTATTGAATCTAGACCTTGTTTTTTCTTTTTCTGCTATGTGCATTTTACTGAGGGACAACTGACTATTAAAATTTGAGATAGACAAATAAGAAAAAATTAAATGTATCTTCCATTTTTCTTCTAATTAGTTTAAAGTGTAGTTTATGATGAGAAGGATTTGAAACTACTATATTAGTTTAAATAAAGTTTGGTTTATTCATTCATTATATCCATTCAATAAGGACTTCAAAAGAACAGAATGCACTTTAAAATATTTTGAGAATTCTGAATATTTAAATTGAATATTATGAGTTTTTGAATATTTTGAATGCTATGCATTTGCTTTCTAGAATATTGATATTTCATGATTCTTTTACTAAGATTTTATACCATGAGTTAAAATGTTAGAGAACCTCCATATTTGCTAGTTTGTTAAATGTTGTTGTTGTTGGTGATGGTGGTGGTGTTAGTGGTGGTGTGGTGTGTGTGTGTGTGCAATAGAGACCTGTCTGGGATAAATAATCCTGGCTAATTTTGTGTTAGCAGCAATCATTATTTGACTCCACATGATCTGTAGAATGCTTGAATGCTTTTACTACAACCTGCCGTACATTCAGGCCATTTATCTTAAAAATTTGTACAGCACCTAAATTAATAAATCTCTCAAATGTAACTTTTCAGAAACTGACCCAAGTGTCTTCTCATCCCCAAACTTACCTTCCTCCCAAATCCTGCCCTTTCGTTTCCTCCAGTATGTCAGTTCCAACCCAGCCTGTCCTCACTCTTCGTTCAGTCCATTCGCTTTCTAAAATTGCAATATTGTAGCAAATAAGCAATGAAAGCATTACTTTTAGGCAAACATTCTGCTAAAAATACCAAAACAATAAAAGAGAGAACCTAAGAAAAATAAAACTAGCATCATTTCAGATCAAGTTCTCTTCACCTTAAATTATAACAAATGTTATAATTAGATGAAAGATCTTAGGGATATTTTAAGAAAGAACAGTCTAGAAACCATGCATTCTCCATCCTTATGAGATTTATAGACTAATGTAACATCTTGTATTAGTTCAAGAAGATTTTAGTAGCTTAACATGAACATATCATTATAAAGAGAAGTTTCTTTGTTTTTCTAAAAAGGCAACGTCATGAAAGTTCTGCAAAATTTAGAGCTCATGTGCTCAAGTTCAAATTCTATCATTTATGGCAAGTTTTTTCAATTTAGAAAGTAGTGTTTTTCTAATCTCCAAGACAGGCTAATAACCATATGCTTGAGTTGCAGTGTGAGTTAAGTTAGGGAATATGAAAGGACTTTTTACAGTGTGTGCGTTCTGACCGCAGTGGCGTATCTAATTCATCAAGAATCAGAAAAATTAAAATTGAACTCTACACAAACTATGACAGTACATTTCCTCAATCACCTAATAATTAGAGATTGGGGAAATATGTTGACCGATAGTAATGAGTTAGTTATGGTGTATTAGGCTTTGTGCTGAGGCCTGATATCAGATATTTTATCACTTAGCTGAGATAAGGTGTTAGAAAGTAGGGACATGAGTGCAGAAAATGAGCCCACAGTTGGTTACACATATTCCCAGGGTCATCAAGGCCTGTGTCCTATTTTACCAAGATCATAGTAGATACCATAGTTTTACCATGGTTTTATCAGAGCACCTTTTTCATTGTTTGTAATTTGCTTCTTGTTTTTTGAGATAGGGTCTTGCTATGTAGTTCAGTCTGGCCTTGAACTCATTATGTAGTGCAGGCTGGCTTCAGACTGTCCTGCCTTGGCCTCCTGAATGTTGAGCTTACATGCATGCGCCACCATGCCTGGCACTGCAGGGCACCTTCTTAAGTAGATGTTTGGAGGTATCCTTCAAAATGCACAATGGTGGTGTCCTTTATCTTGAAGCTCAAACCTCATTGATAATGTATTATTGTTATTATAGTTAATATATCATTATTCATCCCTACAGTAACATAATAGGTAAAATAACTTCTAAGTCAGCATCAAATTTCTGCTAAGCCTCAAATAAAATATAGCAGAAAATAATTTCCAGGTGCCCCAGAAAGCCAAAGAGGCAGCCATTCTCCAGAAGGATTGTTATTTCTAAATACATGATATTTGAAGTTAATATGGCACATTAAACGACAGAAGAGAACATATCCTCTATTTTATTTTGCCTCTAAGCCCAGTTTCTAAGGAGCATTGTGACACACAGCGTGGAAACCAGGACTTTCTGTACCCTGTTGTATTCCTCAATGAAAGACAATCTGGACTGCGCCATGTTCCAAAAATACCATGTGTTGGTGTGCTAAGATTCCTTAAGCTGAAATTTTAATCAGATTTCCTTTATAAAACTGGTCATACAGCTACCATGAAAATTTTGAAATTTAATCCAAAAATTCCATTTGGCCTGTAATAATTTAATGGATGTGGGAAAAATTCATAAATCTGGCACAAGACCATATCCTAAAAAAATTATTTAACTTTTCATTTTTCTTTTGTCAAAGATCATAACTTTTGTTAACTTTTATTTTCTTTAAAAGATTAGACCAGTCACCTCTTTATTAGTTCTTCTTTGTTCAGAAAACAAAATACATCTTATCATTGACTGTTTCTGAAGCTCATAAATGCTATCATTTCTATATAGTAATTATGCCTGATTACTACACACAGAGTGAGCATCTGGACATTCAAAATACTGTGTAACATTTTCATAAAAACTTACAGCCAGTTTAAAAGTCAGAGCCCCAGAAAGTTCAGATATTTCTACTATGTATAAACTTCACTGGTCTCAGTGTGACAACCTCAACATGCAGAGCTATTGCTGAGAGTTTATTGGATGTAATCCTAGATATGACACCAGTGATTAATAGGTCTTGAAATGTCCTGCTAAGTTGTAAATACACAGAATTATCAGTCTAACCCTGTGCTTCCTTTCTCAGAAAGAGAAGGTGAAGTCAAAGCACCACTTATAAAACAGTCTCTATGTCCCTAAAATGCCAGGATATTAGTGACAAGCAGGTACCCTCCATAGTGACTTTAGTGTGTGCTCAGACCTTCAAGTGGCGTTGGGAGTCATGTTCAGCAGTGGGTACTGCAGTCAAACTCTGTTTCTCCACCCAGCAGCTTAGAGGCTTGGGACGAACAGCTTCTTCACAGCACTGATCCTAAGCACACTGAAGTCATAGGGTGTTGTATTATGATGATTAAATGAAATATTTGCAAAACACCTAGTAGAATAAGCATTCAGTGAAATTAGTGAATGGCAGTCCATATTGTAATAATGAATCTAATGCTATTGATTTTTGACCTAAGCTTTAACAAAACTAGTACTGATCCTCATAGGCAGGACAAAATATAAAATAGTATTACCATAGCCTGTGTTATCAAATAGAAAAGATTGGGTTTAATAGTAATTGGGGTAACAGTTACTATTTATCTATGTTGCATTAAGCTAAAATGTTTCTCTGAAACTAAAATCTTTTTTCACAAAGGGCATTTGGATCCATCTGGTTCGAACCTCTTCTTAAAAAATTACAAAAACAATTTTATTAGGCTTGGATTTTATAAAGGCAACAAAAATGAATAAAATAATTAACTCATGAAATTACTGGAACATGGATTTACTGGAGCACGGAATTAACTATATATAGCTTTCTAGAGAGTTAAATTAGGCACAAATAATGCATAAATAATACTGCTATATATTATTATTGGTCCCTCATTTACAAGAAACAAAAATTATCTTTAGAAGGTGTGAAAACTTGGTGACCATGACTGGCAAGTTTCATACAAAGGAAAGACGGGCTCACAAAAACATTCCGGTACGTTCTCATTCACCAGATACGGTACTACGTGACATCTGCCTCTTCTCCAGAATTAAAATGACTGTGAAACACAAACATTTGATTTAGGACATCAAGGCAGCCAGGACAGCATAACTAAAGACATTCAAGAGAGAAGACTTCCAGAGCCACTTCAGAAAGCAGCAAGAATGAGGGGATCAGAAGCAGAAGGGGGGTTGAAGTGAGGGGGAGACTTTTGAGAGGGATTAAAGGTGATACGTCTTTTACTGTAATAAATTAAAACATAGTTTTGAACATTGATCATACTTTTCAGTTATACCTCAGATTCTAAGTACTAAGAATTTTGAGCTTCAACATTAATATTTATGCAATGCAAAGTAATTTCAGAAGAGACTTTCCATTGTACAGAGCTCTAAAAAGCTTTGGTTGTATCTGAAGTTTTCTGCAGCTGTTTGAAAGGTGATTTCCTTCCTTGTGAGAATGCCAGGGCTAGCTTCCTACAAATGATTCCTGTGGCTGTCTCCTGTCCTCTGTCACAGTGGTTTGGGTCGGAACAGAACACTTTGTATTCCGGGACTTACCTTGAGTACTCTCTTCCTGTGATCTAAAGTCACAGATTGCTCCGCCTCCCTGTGAGGCAGCCTCTCATCTCTCCCAGCTCATTTCTGCTGTTGTCCAACAGCTTTCTTTCCCTCCCTCTGATCTCAGGTGTCACATCTGTCATTTACTTAATCAAACATGTCTTAGGTGCTTCCTGGGTTCAAAGTAGTGTCTTAGGTGCAGGGGATGGAGTTGTGCAAAGGCAGGCAAAAATCCCTTCTCTTGTGTAGCTTATAGAGCGTGGTCTAAGAGGAGAAATACACTTGGGGTGGGGGAATGACCAACATGGAGATGAAAGGCCATGCGTGATACGGGCAAAATGCAGCGGATGGGGAGA